GTATAGAGGATAAACTACAGGTGAGGTGGTGGCTTACTACAGTAAGGCTACTATATCCTTCTTAATAGGACAATGTACCAGAGACTATAGCAGATCTACACCAAGCTGGTATCAAGGTATGGGTGCTCACTGGAGATAAGATAGAGACAGCCATCAATATAGCGTACTTTATATGTATCTCTGTTTTAAAGAGGAAGACTAAAACACAATAGGTATAGTAGTAAACTACTCTATCCTACAGTACTCAATGAAGTGATTACTTCTACTAATCCACATAGTATACATACAGCATTGGATGCCCTAGCACAGAGTCTAGCGACAGGTCCATTGCCTGGTCATAAAAATAGGTAGGGTTAGTGAGGTAGGACTGCTCATTGGAGGGTATATTACTATAGATCAAGCTTGGCAACACTTGAGTGGGACGATGCAGCAGAGATCAAACTAGCTAAACAAGGCTTGCTCTCCATGTCGTCGTCGTTATCGATTGATATTACCAATCTACCCTCAGCACAGGCAGCTATCCAGGGTGGCAGTAGGAATGAAGAGGAAGATGGAGGTGTAGTAGTAAGAATACCTCTGGCACTAGAATCATCCATCGATCTATGTGGCTCAGGCTACATCTGGTATAGAACAGCAGCACCAACCCAGGGTAGAAGAGGGTAATACTGATGATGAATGTAAAGAAAGAGTCAAGGACAGCCTTACTCCTACTCCATCATCATGGATTACAGCAGTAGCCATAACAATATCAGGAGATAGTCTGGCTGTCGTACTTAAGGATAGGTCTTATCACTATACTACTACCACTATCGATGGTCATTATGATCAGAGACCTTCGTAAGAAGTTCTTCAAGTTTGCCCTCAGCCATTGTATAACTATTATTGCTTGTCGAGTATCACCCAAACAGAAGGCCCAGATTGTGAAGTTATAATACATCATTCTAATAGCAGGTGTGATACTACCCTTATAGGTGGAGTGGTAGCTATCTTCCATCTAATACGATGTTGGCCATAGGGGATGGTGCCAATGATGTTGGTATGATAGTATCAGCTGATGTTGGGGTAATGCACAGTAACCATCCTACTACAATGCCTCATTAGGTTGGTATCAATGGTAAAGAGGGAGCCCAAGCAGCAAGGTCAGCGGACTATGCTATACCACAATTCCATTGTCTACGCCGACTACTCTTCCTACATGGACGAGAGAGCATCCGCAAGAACTCTACCTTTATCTATTATACTGTCTTCAAGAACGTAGCCTTCTCCCTACCAGCCTTCCTACTAGGCTTGGTATCACAGTTCTCTGGTACTAGCCTCTATGACCCTATATTGAAGCAAGGCTATAATGTCATATTCACGCTACTACCTATACTACTGTACGTGTATTCGATAGACAGCTTCCTACTCTATCACACCTAACTGTCCTTATCTCTAC